GGATATAACTCAAAATGAATAATGAGTTTCTTCTTCTGTTGCTATTTTGTGCTGTTTGCAGGGCTTTACTGCAGGTGGGTTTATCTACATTGCACTTGGGGTTTTGGCTGAGACGAGCAATGGAGTTTTGAGTATAAAAAATACAGCTATACAATTAATCTCGTTGGCTTCGGGTATTGGTGTTGCTCTTTGTATATCTCTTGTAGAATGATTCTATACTTCATATGGTTTGTCAGAGAATCTGCTGTGTAGCTTTTAGTACCCTCTCCTGTTTGTGATTGTGCGTCATATTTTATCGGAATCCAAAAGCGAGCAAAATGCCTCGGCTTTTAACACACGAATTTATTTGGTCGAGAATACTAGACTTTTTAGTGTTTATTTCCTAATCAAATCTAACACAATTTGCTCCTTATAGAGACTTTAGTTACTTCCTTTATACATTGTTTCCCCATTGAATAATATATATGTTTTATGAGGACCTGCAAACAAACGATTGCTATAGCTCAAGATACAAAAACTACATAATATAACACACTGAAATGTTTACCTACGTTGTTTGTGTCTTGATATAATTGATTTCTTAGTTGGAAAAATGCATATAGTAAAAAGAACTGTTGAAGAAAAACAAATCTTCGCCGAACCTAATATTAGAGAAAATTGTAAGTTTAGTCCCGTAGTACTGGACCTATTGCATAATTGGTCCCAAAGATTAAAATATCAATCCTTTACGTTTTTTGGTTGGAAATTTGGTTCCATTATTCTTAATATTAACGGAACATTCATGCGAACATTAATAAGGAAAGGAGTAACTTGCAAAATACCATTATCCCACTAATAAGTGTTTAACAACTAAGAAACCGAGATTCAATTCATCATAAAACACACAAGATGACCATTAGTTTGATTAAGAAACCGAGATTCAATTCATCATAAAACACACATGGTGAAAATTAAAATACAGAAAATCTTTTCTCAAACGTCAGGATAACAATATCTAGCCCAACATAATATGTCATGTAGTAGAATCAATATAAAACACATGAATCCTAAAAACGAATCATATGTCATGTAGGAGAACCAATATAAAACACATAAAACTTAAAAAAAAAAAAAAAATACAACTTAGAAAATCTAGATCAACGCACCATATAAACATGCAATATCTAAAGACTTGCTCCACACTAAAAACAACAATGTCCTCATTGTCTAACCAAATAATTGAAGAGTAAATAAATTAACAATACACTTTTATATCATGAATAAGTACTAGCAAAGAACACAAGAATATACAATTTCAAAGAAAAATCACAAATCCGAAGACAAAACAAGAAATCACATAATGTAAATAAAAAGTCGGAAAACGCAAATTCAGACATAAAACATGAAAGTTTATGAGTGGTAGGAAAAGTGATAAAGCATGTCAAAGTGAGATATCCATAAGCGGTCGTACCCCTCACAATGATTATAATGCAAAACTCTGTTGTCCACCCCCGAACTGGACTCTAGTACCTAACAAAAGAGACAACATGTCACCAAAACCATATTTTATTTAAAAGAGATCTAAAACAAGAAATCATAAAAAGTAAAAAAAATATATAGGTGTTGGGCTCAGATGCACAAATGCGGAAGGTGTAAATTAAAACACCAACGTGAAATGGTGAATAAAAATAATAATCTCATAGTAACTCAAGAATGACAAAAGAAAATCTCTTGCAATAATATAGGAATAATTCTTTTCTGATGTGAAAGATCAGATTAAACTGCGACCACAGAGCATACTAAGAATATCCCAAATAAATATTATATGCAAGAAATAAGACACCAAGATTTAACGTGGAAAAACCTCCAATGTAGAGGAAAAAACCACGGGACAACCTCCGAACAATACCACTATTTTCAAGATAATTACAATATCTTTTCACACTCCCCTACATTAGAAATGTAAAATATAGTGACCCAGTGAGACCCCACTCCTAAATATTACAAACAAGGATTAATAGAGATGATACCCAACCCGGTATTTTTCCTACACTCACAGGATTTACTCAAACACTCTATTTTTCTCTCACTGAAAAATAACACTCACAAGAAATATTTTTATTTATTTTCTTGCTCTCTTTTTTTCTTCTCGGTTGGTGCACACTCTTCAGAAGAATATCCCTTCTATTTATAGAGGGGGAAGTACATGTGAACAAAGAAAAAAAAAATGGTTGCACCTTCCTCCATCTTTCTTCATTGTAGGCGCCTGACATTTTTTTTTTTTCTTTTCATAATGGTGGCTTAGCAGCCACTTTTGACTTTTCTTTTCTTTGGGCTGGATGCTAACAATTCTCCCCTCTAGCCAAAGGGAAATTTTCTGTAAATCTTCACATGCAAGTCATGCCGATCAACTCGGCACAAAGCTGAAGCTTACCCCCTGTTACAACTTTCGTCATCATGTCAGCAGGATTGTCGTCAGTGTGAATCTTTTCCAACTTGAACTGTTGTTCTTCCACTGTTTGACGTAGCCAATGATATCTGACATCTATGTGCTTCGTGCGAGAGTGGTACATCGCATTCTTACTTAAATCCAATGCGCTTTCACTATCGCAATGGATATCGTACCTTTCCTGCTTCATTCCCAATTGTTGAAGAAACCTCTTCAACCAAAGCATTTCTTTTCCTGCTTCTGCCAGTGCAATATACTCGGCTTCAGTAGTCGACAAGGCAACAGATTTCTGCAATTTAGATTGCCAAGATACAGCTCCTCCTGCAAATGTAAACACAAACCCTGAAGTAGATTTTCTACTATCCAGGTCATCTGCCATATCTGCATCTGTATAACCCTCAAGAACTGGGTTTCTTTGCCGAAGTTCAAGCACTTATTTACACTACCTTTTAGGTACCTCAAGATCCACTTCACAGCTTCCCAATGATCCTTCCCAGGATTGGAAAGATACCTGCTAACAACTCCAACCGCGTGACCGATATCTGGTCTAGTACAAACCATGGCATACATCAAACTCTCGACTGCCGAGGAGTATGGAACACCTGCCATAACTTCTTTTTCTTCTTGATTCGTAGGACAACATCGTTTGCTGAGTTCGAAGTGATTGGCCAATGGCGTATTGTCTGGCTTAGCTGTTTTCATGTTGAATCTCTCCAGAATCTGATTCACATACCGTTCTTGCGATAACCATAACCTCTTGGATTTTCGGTTTCGCATGATCTGCATGCCCAAAATTTATTTCGCAGGGCCTAGATCCTTCATTTCAAAGGACTTTGCTAAATCCTTCTTCAAATCAACAATCAGCTTCATGTCTTGTCCCACAATCAACATATCATCTACATATAACAAAAGGATAATGAATTTATCACCTGGAAATTTCTTAACGAACACACAATGATCTGCATCAGTCTTGGTATATCCATGGCTCGCCATAAATCAGTCAAATTTCTTATACCACTGTCTTGGAGTTTGTTTCAGTCCATACAAGCTCTTCTTCAATCTGCAAACCATGTGCTCCTTTCCAGTCTTCTCAAATCCTTCTGGTTGCTCCATGTAGATTTCTTCATCTAGGTCTCCATGAAGAAATGCAGTCTTCACATCTAGTTGTTCAAGCTCCATATCCAAGCTAGCCACCAATTCGAGTATTACTCGAATAGAGCTCATCTTTACAACCGGAGAAAAAGTATCTCATCAAAATCTATTCCTCGCTTTTGTCCAAATCCTTTCATGACTAAACGAGCCTTGTACTTCAACAGCTTGTCACCATCTTTCTTAAGCTTGAACACCCATTTATTCTTCAAGGCTTTCCTGCCTTCTGGAAGCTTCACAAGCTCATAAGTTTCATGTTTCACCAATGAATTCATTTCTTCTTGCATAGCTTTCATCCACTGGGATTTATCCTTATGAGTCTGAACTTCTTCAAAGCTTTCGGGCTCCCCTTCTTCAGTGATGGTAATATACGTAGAACTAGGGTACCTCGTAGATGGTTGGATTGCTCGATTGATCTCCTGAGCTGAGGCAGAGCTTCGACGTCTTCTTGCTCGACACCTTCACCATCACCATCTTCAATTGCTGGTTCATCATCAACCATGAGTTCCCCATCACACTCTCCACCTATTGTGGCATCTCTAGGAGGTACTACAGGTGACATATCCACCTTACCACCTGGTTCGATAGTTTCTGTTGCAGCAGAATCAGACATAGTTTCTTGCTCATGGAACACTACATCTCTGCTTCTAATAGTTTTTCGTTTTTCTGGATCCCATAATCTGTAGCCAAATTCCTCATCTCCATAGCCCAAAAATATACAAGGAATGGCTCTATCATCAAGTTTTCGCCTCTGTTCCTTGTTTACGTGAGCAAAAGCTTTGCATCCAAACACCTTCAAATGAGAGTATTTAACATCATGTCCGGACCATACCCTCTCAGGGATACCAAAGCCCAAAAGAACGGATGGAGATCGGTTGATCAGGTAGCACGCCGTTAGAACAGCTTCACCCCAGAATGGCTTAGGTAGCTTAGCCATTCTTAACATACACCTCACTTTCTCCATAATGGTTCTATTGATTCTTTCAGCCACACCATTATGCTGTGGGGTTCCAGGTACAGTCTTCTCATGCCTGATTCCATGATCAGTACAATAATTCTTGAATTCATGGGAAGTATATTCCCCTCTATTATCTGAGCGAAGACACTTCAAAGGTTTACCAGTTTGTCTCTCCACCATAGCGTGAAACCTTTTGAAGTGCTGAAAAACTTCGTCCTTCGTTCTCAAGAAATACACCCACAATTTTCGTGAAGCATCATCAATAAACGTCACGAAATATTTGCTACCACCGAGACTCTCCTCTTCCATGGGTCCACATACATCAGAATACACCATCTCCAACACATTCTCTTTCAGCTTTGAGGTTTTGCTGAAAGACACTCTATGATGCTTCCCAAAGAGACAATAATCACAAGGATTTAGTTTTGAATCTTTGGCAAACGGGATGAGGGACTTTCTTGCCAAAATTTGCAATCCTTTTTCACCAATATGAGCCAGTCTTTTGTGCCACAAATTTAGCGAAGCATCATCTTCGACTGCATTTAGTCCACCCTTGATCAGATTCACTTGAGTTCTGTACAGCGTCGATCTCACTGTGCCTCTAGCAGCTAACAATGATCCTTTGGTAAGCCTCCATGTGCCGCTACAAAAATTGTTAGTATAGCCTGCTAGATCCAATGCATGCACAGAGATCAGATACAGACGTAAGTCAGGTACATGTCGCACGTCCTTCAGTGTTATTGTGCACCCAATATCAGTTTGAATGCACACATCACCAACTCCCACAATATTTGCAATGTTGTCATTGCCCATCTTTACTCTACCAAAGTCTCCTTCTTTGTATAGAGAAAAGAATTCCTTGTGAGAGGTGGCATGGTAAGATGCGGCTGAGTCAATGACCTATTCAACACATGAATCTGCAACATGACACTCTTCTTCTTCAACA